CTGGACACCCCCCTCGGTGACCTTCGTAACGCACTGCCTCCCGACCAGTCTCGAAAGACTTCCGCTTTGCCATCGAGATACGGAATCTAATTGTGGGAAGCGGGAGACGATTTATCACCGCACTGATCGTCACGCAAATACATGTAGTTTACCAATTAGATTTCCGTCTCGAGCAAACGTTTTGGCCAATAAAACTGCAGGTTGTCTACTCGTGCAACTTCACTTACTATCGACCAATCGTATATCTCTTTGGAAAGTACTGCACAATAAAATCCAAAAAGGGCTATTTCTTCACCATTTTAAAGACCCGGCTTTTGTGTTTTATGGGGATCCGGATAGATTGTGACGGACGCTCTGCAACACCAGATAGTACAGTTTTCTCTTAAGAGCGAAAAATAGCCTTTTTAGGATTTCCGATTCTGAGTTTGTATGTCATACAAAACTAGGTGAGTCGCGAAAGGGTTAACAGCTGTTCCTGCGTGAATTGCGCTTCTTTTTGTTTTCTGCAGCGACGCTGCCTTTTCAACTCACTCTGGAGCAACCGTGGATCTTATCATAAACACAACATAAACTGGGTGCTAGGGGGGGGTAATGTATTAGACTCACTGCAAAATAGCATAATGTTCACACTGTACAGTATTACTGAGCTCGAGGTACCCAAATTTAGAAATAGGGCTATTTGATGTACCCAAAATAAAAACCAAAGGTCTCACTGCAAGTACTGTAGACCCTCATAAAATTGCAATGTCGTGAACTGGGCCAAGAGAATGGAGTATGCCTCGCTCGAAAAGGATAGCAGCGGGGATGTATTATAATATATCACGTAGCCATACTACGCATCAGCTTAGTGAGTCTGTGGCTCACTTCAATTAGAGCGATACATCGACCACTCTAGACCAAGTGTAGGCGTTTATTATTGCGATTTAGATAAACAAATCGAGTTTCGCTGAACTACAAGTAGCCATGAGCCTTTAATAGTGCGCTATAAATGCGCTTCCTAGAATTTTCGGCGGAACGCCTTAAGATTTCCTGCACCGTGTGGGGACAAGCCAGCATTTATAAAGCGCTTCGTTCGTGTATACCTATAGCTCTGTAGGCAATCTGGAGCTGTTTATTTATATTTTGTTTTTGCAAATGGTGTTTGTCCAGATTATTATGTTAAGGGTTAAATGTGTGGGGCAGGTTGATTCCTTTGTCAGCCACAGCATCGGCAGCAGCACTGGTAGATACATGTAGTATTATTTCGTTCATCCACTTCTGAAGAATAGTCGTCTGACCACTCCAATGACGCAAAGTGCCCAGCTAAGTAGCAAATGTAGCATACCCTCATAGACTGGTAAGATTAACAAAATATCAGGGAAAAGAAATTAGACCACTCTAGTGCTTTCAAAATCTACGAAGGGGTCCGTGGACGACAATTATGCGGAGATCAGGTCTGGTATGCAACGTTGGTGCAGCATTGAGTCGAAGCACTCTGCACGTTTTCGAATAGTTTTCCGCCCCAACTCATTAAATAAACGAATGGAATTCATGCCAGAAAAATGTAAAAAAATGTCATATTTCTGAGTAGTTACTAGTATCGTTAGGACAGCTAAATGACTGTAATGAACCCTGACTTTGAAGAAGAGTAGTTACTAGTAGGATTAAATTATGGCTGTGGGGAAGCTTCGCCAATGGAGAAGGACGTGCAAAAAAATGTTGCTGTGCTGATAGATATATTGTAATACGATTGTGGCAGCTCAATTACAAAATCCAAGCTGATAACTCGATGTTTACATGTAACACGCTAAATGCATTTGGGTACACCATGTTACCCCTATTTCTAATTTGGGGTACCTCGAGCTCCCTAAGCTGGAGCTCTATCCGCGAAAAACGATTTTATTAATTAAATGACTACTGCGTACACAAGCGTCGGTGGCATTTAAGTAACTGGTGCTTCCTTGTCTTAAACTAAGCTTCTTTTAATAATTCTACTATAATATCATACAAGCTGTCAGCTATAAGAAACGAATTTGCGCTACAGCATCAAATCACGTACTGTTCTTTGCCACGTTTGCCGTGGATCTGGAGCACGTTTAGATTATTCTTGTCAGTGTACCTTGCGGGGCTGCAGTACGTTGTTTGTGGGGGACTTTGTGATGCAGCCATCCTGAACTGTAGGGGGCTCGAATGCAGGGGTTAATGGTAGCTCCAAAATCGGTGAAGTTAATATTGTGAAAATATCACCTGTAGACCAGCTAACATTAAAAATTTCACCTAATATTTTCTTCTGAGACAATATGATATTATTAAATATCAACTTAGTATTAGTTAATACGATATTATATTTTTCAATGATTGCGTAATCGGGGTAAATTAACTAATCCGATGTCGTTAACGCTCGACTAGCTGAAGTATTACTAATCAACCGTGAGAGAGGGACAATTGTGAGAGTGACGGCAAGGTTGGCGTCGTGTGTTGGCACTGCTGAGCGCATTAATCTATCACCACAGGCAGCAGGTTTATTAGACGCACGATGTGGACGAGGAGATTGGTAGAGAACAAGAACAAATGTCTTGATTTCGCTCTATCAACGTTAAACAGCTGCAAGCGTTTGCAGTTTTCCATCTCGATCGCCTTTGTCTGTGTCACAGTAAAATACTAGAGCAAATACTCGTCAGTCTTAAAGCCTACTGCTTTTCTAGAACCTGATCGAAAAAGTTATTTGGCTCCGCTCGGTTCACAGAGGGTAAGGTGGCAAGAAACGTACTTAAGTGAGATATATCATAAAATATTATGAAGTATCTAATATTTTTCAGTTCTCCGAGTTAATTTTAAAATAATATTTTAACTTTTGCAAAAATGAGTTACTATTAATGTTTATTATCGAAAATAGTACTATTACTATCAAAAAATATCATATGATATTTGGTTACCATTAGCCCCTTAATCAATATGTCATATTATGACGTAGAGAAAGTTATGACATTGAAAGGGTGAAATGCGGCTTAATCGGGATCTGTTTTTCTGCACTTTGTGGACCTTTTCATGAACCCCCAACCTTATTCACAGATCGCATGGTTTTTGCAATTGGACAGTACTGTTGTAGAAACAGCCTGAAATTACATGTGTTGTATTAAAAGAAAGCGAACAGTGTTCACAATAAGATATCTTCTTTAAGAGTCCAAGTTTCTGTTGGATTGTCAACCATCTCTGCATGACTATAGCACTGAGGCCAATTCAGTTTTCGTGCACTGCTGCATCATTCAAACAACGCGAGTACAATAGAAACTTCTTGACTTCCTTCTTCGGTTGTATTAGCGATACCAGGGTATTATCCATAGAGGGTGCTGCGTGCCTATCCACTAGAATCCTGCTTCAAAACTCCGGGGCATATTATAGTCTTGATATCGTTTTTCCTGCTCAGAAAATGATGTCCAATTTTGTCTAAATTGTCCAAGCGTTTGATCAGTCTTTGTCCAAACGGAAAACCGTGTAGAATCGTGATTTTTTCATCTCGTCTTTATCTTCACAAGCTTTACATGAAATACATGGTAATACCACGCCACGACAGCGATAAGACACCCAGTCGTTTTACAGTAGTGACCAGACGCGCTATAAAGATTCTCTCCCCTGGTGAGTGCAGTGATAGGCTCGCTTATCCAGGGGATGGGAATCTAAAAAAAGCTCAGCGCTGTGTCCGTCTACGCAAATTCGGCGCGGTATCCTGCGCGGGTTTGCTGCGTACGCGATGACTCTTTTGGTATTCATTAAAGGAACCTTTAGTGGAATGCTTGACGCTAATAATTTTGCAAATGTTTTTAAGACAATTTGGACAGATTTGAACACTTGTTGGGCATGCTATCATCTTTTATAACCTAGATTATTAGATACTCATATTTTGATTTAAAATGCAACTGAATTGCACCCGTTTTTGTGACGCTACCATCCCTTTAATATCTGCGTTTGCGGCTCGTAGCGTTTGCAGATTTGCCAGCATCGTGCCATCCACGGTGGATTCCACCCAGTCTATAACAACAGCAGCTGGCGGTTCATGCAGCCTTGACGCTGGCGCAGCGGTCATCTTAAGGTCTAGCATAAGAAGGCACTGGAGGCACTGCTACTTTCCAGCCAATTGTCAAGCCACGGCATGAAGTGCGGTCTTGTTGACTGGTGCGGGGGGAAAGGAGTACATGTAACTGGCGACGCCATCATCATTAGAGCACAGAAACTAAGCAAGAAGGAAGGACGCAAGTTGCAAGTGAGCTTGCTATTCCCTATTACAAGAGAAAGGTAAGAGGGATGCTTCATTTTGCCAAAATCCGATTCTTTCTTCCTGCTGGCGGGGATTCTAAGAGGAGGAATTACTTCGGAAGGGTCCGCCAGTGCCTACCGGTACTCTGTGCTTTTTAAAATGGAAGTGAACAATGCACTTAACTGAAGATGAAGGGGGTAAAATAGAGTGCAAATCAAAATGCTGAAGACCAATGGAGGCGATGTCGCGTAGACCCAGCGCGAGGTGCCACGAGTCGGGGCCCACGCCGCACGGTTGTGCGCTAATTACGAAGGTGGTCCCAGCGCCGAGCTGCCGAACGCTCACTCTACGTCCGAACGTTCACTGTACTTGTTCTGTGTAAACACTGTTTACTAAATTAGTCCTGCCTGTACAGTTTACAGTACAGTGTAAACACTGTTTACAGTTCAATTCAGTCCCAGATGGCAGAGCGTTCCGGTATTGACACAGAAGATCTCCAAATTGTGAGGAATTCTAACACACAGGAATATGGGTACCCTTAGATGTAAATTGTAGTGCGTACTACAGTATTACGCACTGCGTAATCGTGCATCCTTCAAGCTAATCCGCTTTCCGATCTCCAAGAACTTTCGCATGTTTTTAACGACTAAGTCGTCAACTCGAATAACATTTTAGACGGATACCAGGTACTTGCCATCGGCGATGCAGTCTCACTTTACTATTCTCCACCCGGAACACAAGGCCTACCCAAGAACACAGCACAGTTATGCGCTGCCTTTTCTACGCAGTATTTGTGGTTGCGCTCGTCCATCTGAACGCTCTCACAGCATACTCCGACAACAGCGAGAAGTTCTCGCTGAATAATCCAGCACTTCCTAGTGTGGAGACGACATCGGTCGAGGAACCTAGTAGGCTCCTCCGAGTCGGTGATGAGGTTGATGACGCGCTAAAGTCAGTTTCTGCATCCAAGCAAGTGCGTAAGTTGAGAGCTAACAGGCTTGCTGAGAAATTGAAGTCCACCGCGACAGCGAAGAAGCTACTCGCGACGGCGAAGAAGACGTCCAGCAGCTTAAAAAAAGTCCCAGGCGTGAAGAGCGTCCAGAAAAGGATTCTGTACAACAGGCTTTCGAGATGGGCTAAGCAGGGGAAACGTCCAGAGGATCTCAAAAAGGCGGGGAAGTTCAAGAATAACGATGAGTTTGCCGCGTACCAAGTGATTCTCAATATGGCCAAGCGCAAAAAGGCTGCTCCATAAGCCGTTCGACCTCAGCAATTCCATGCTTGAGCATAGCACTTCGTCGGGCCTTCAGCGAAGCCCCCTGACCCGTAACTGTTTGGAAAATGTTTGCTTATCGATGCGAGTTTGTGGTTACAGTCACACCTGTCTATTTCAATTGAACCTTTGTCACCGAACTTCCGACTATTTGAAACCCCACTTTCCTCTTTATTCTATAAATGCTAGCGCAGTAAATACTACGTAGTATTTGGAGCCAGTCACACTATATGATAGATTTTGTTCCCTTAGAAGCCTTCTGCGATGTCCGCAATCCCCTTTACAGCCAACTTTGAGCGTTCGTGGTCCTCCGCATACTCTAGGAATCGCATGGGTAAGATTCATGATATGAATATTATTAACTCGCGCGAGTTAATGTGACTGTGATTTAATGTGAATTTCTGAATCTGATTCCGATCTGCACCCAAATTAATGAGGTACCCGAAATAAGCAGTACCACCCTTTTTCCTCATTCAATGTCGACTAATCAACATTCAAAGTTGTCAATGTGGCGCGTCTTAATCTTCACTCTCAATTCTACCGAGCATCGCGTAGATGCCTTCCCAGTCCACGCTCAAGCGCCACACGCCCGAGGAACGCCGCCGGGTCCTCGAGGCCTTCAACAACGGCCAAGACTGGCGCGCCAGAAATTCGGGAGGCTCTCGAGCTCTGGATGTAAGAGTGCTGCACGTACACGCTCGGTACTTTAAAGCTGCTGGTGCTAGAAGACTTTGACGTGGACATCTCTGAGACCACGATTTCTCGCCATTTGACCGGCATGCTGTACTCAATCAAACAGGCGATGCAGTCTGTTGTAAGGTGTTGATACTATTAGAGCTAGCACACTTGCTGTTGCTTAGACTCGCGTGGAGCCACTGACCTGTAACAGCGAGGTCAACAAACAGAAAAGAAAGGAGTTTGCCGAGGCTCTGGTCAAGCACCAAGACGAGATCCTGGAGCCCGTGCTAATCAGCGACGGCAAGCCGATCACGAAGACCGAGGCGCGCATGCGCATTCTTGAACGCGCCGCCAACGTGAACATGCCGAAGATCACGCAGCGCACGGTGCAGAAGATGGAGTTGCATGCTGGAAGTTCGTCAACGCCGCAATTCGCTTCGAGGACATGGTGTACGACGAGTAGGTGGATCTGTAGGGAGAAGTGGAATACAGCATGCCGAGTTTGATTATGGACTAGCCAGCTTTGATTGCACTAAGGATAGTGGTACTGCTTATTTCGGGTACCTCGCTCCGGCAAAAAATGAACCAAAATTAAAGCTGCCGACTTTGGATGTTGAATGAGCCAACTATGGGCAGGCAAAGGTGTAGAGATGGTCCGTCGAATGTCTTCGGTTTGTTGTAGTCTGGGCAAGCATTCCGGGCCACGTCTCGGTAGTCAGGGGTACGAGCTGAGCTTGCTTAGCATGCTGGCTCGGTTTCAGGTTCATTTTTTGTTTGGGCGGGTTATCTTCGTAGTACTTTGCCAGAGCCGTGCTTACCTTTTCTTCCGTTTGCGAATACACTATCAAAGCTATATTGCTCTTCCTCAAACTCAAACTCTGCATCTTCAACAGGAACAAGTACTCTGGTTCTGCTGGTGTGACCGAACTCCCCCATTTTAACAGCTACACAAGTGCGTGTCTTCTCCTTTGCGTGTTTGTATAAGTTGCAGATGCTCAGTCCTGCCTTGGTATTCGGAGAAATCTATGTTACAAGGTGGACTAAAATAAAACTGACTTGAATTTAGACAACAGCCAAGCTGCTATCTGTTTATATATATATAGATATATATATATATGCCTTGCTCATTTATTATGTGGGGAAGTTTAATCACGGTGAACTGCGTGGTGAGACCACTGTTGGCCTCATCCAACAATTCTAATCGAAGCTTACCCTTTGAATATACCTGCACCGTGCGCGGATAGTCCATGTGTCAAAAAGAAGTGATGCGGTGAGAGGTTGCAGAAGTGGGGGCAATTTTCAAATCTTAAATTTATGATTTATTCTAATATTTCGTCTGCTTACTGAGTACCCTTGAGCTTTGACCTTAGTAACACATGGGAATATGACAACGGACACACAAAACAGCTTGATAAAAGTATGTACTATTACAAAGATCTTCGACCACCCTGGCTCAAAAAGGATGAGCTAGCTTGGATAATACTTGTACGGCTTTATCTAGGTTATCGGTAAAAAAAAAGTGACAATCGTTCTGCAATTTTCTACCAATCATGCGGATATAGAATGCTCATCTGTTCTCGTACTTAGTTAAAGGAGCGAAATTGCAATAAATCAGTTTTTTTCTGAGAAATTCAATTTGTCTTAAAAAAAGGAGACTGCGTCGTGTTAAGGAGATATCCCAAATCTCAACCGTATGTTAGCTACTAATCGATCCATGCACAGTGTGCAACACACCTTATGCGAGCAACACAGTGTATATCTATGGGAATATGCACTTTAGTTCGTATGACCACGACCACACACTTAGAAGAGAAAATGGAAAGTAAGATTGAAAAACTCATTAGCGCTGTTTGCCTCGAAGCTCCAACATTCTTCTTAAGCGGGCTTGAACAACTTCTCAAGCTGCCGCCCACTTCACTTGACTTCATTATGTTCCGACGCACTGCTGCGCTTATCCTTATACGCAGAGTCCCATAGTCCGTTGAACTTCAACTTCACCAACGGCTGTACTCGACCAATGCATTACATCTGCACTCATGGTGCTTCGCCAGTATTCATTCCAACACGCCTCCCACGAAGCTCATGCTGCTCAGTAACTTGTACTTCGTAAAAGTGATATCCTTCATCAGGCTTGACAAATACCAATGAGCTCCAGCAATGCGCAAGCGATTCTTGTCCAACGGCTCTGTGAATACGTTTGCGGGGTTCTTGTCGCCTCTGACCTTATGCAACTTGATGACTCCCTTTTGAACTTGTTCTCGTATGAAATGCCATCGAAGTTCGATATGTCTTGTTCTGCGACTGTAAGTTGGATTAGTCGCCAAGATATGGGCAGCCTGATTGTTAATTTCGAGCTTCAGATCAAATTTGCATTGTGGAACTACTTCTTGCAGTATATCACTCGCAGCTGTAGCTTCCATAGCTGCCTCACAAGCCGCAACATACTCAGCCTCCGCTGTTGAGAGTGCCACGATAGACTGACGTCGCGACATCCAGGAGATCGCACCTCCAGCAAGCGAGAACACGAATCCCGTTGTACTCTTTCGCGACTCTGGGTCGTTAGCCCAGTCACTATCACAGTAGCCTTCAAAGACTATAGCATCAGGTACTTTATCCGCACATCTGTACGTAATACCATAGCTTACCGTTCCAGCAAGATATCGCAAGACACGTTTTAGTGACCCTGCGTGCTTGGCTGATGGTTTGGCCACAAATCGACTTAAATGTCCTACTGCGAAAGCCAAATCCGGGCGGGTACAAGTGGCAAGGTACATTAGCATCCCCACGGCCTTTCGATATTCGAAACTGGTATCAGACTCTTCGTTCTCAGTGAGCGGTGACAACTTCACGTTAGTCTCCATCGGGCTCCCAGCTGCGTGGGCCTGATCATATCCGAATGTCTCCAACACCTCACGTGCATACTTGCTCTGTTCAATCGTGATGCTCTTTGAGCTTTGAGTTACCTCAATGCCCAAATATTGAGTCAGCAAACCTTGATCTTTGATGCCATAAGCCATATCCAGGTCTTCGAACAATTTCTCCTTGGCCTCCTCATCGTTCGTAGCCACCATAATGTCATCCACGTAGACTAGGATCAGCATGACGGTGCTATCATTTAAGCAATAATACAGACATGGTTCGGTCATTGATTGCTGAAAGCCACGCTCAAGTAGCCATTGGTTCAGAGAGAGTTCCACTCTCGACCAGATTGCCGTAGTCCATACAATGCATTTACTACCATGTAAGCATGTCCGTCAACTGCACATGGAAAGCCGTCGATTGATCTTAGATATTATCGTAATCCTAGCAGCGCATTCAGATATGCGGTGTTGATATCCGCGCCGTACAACTGCAAATGCAATGCCGCAGCCAGAGCCACTAGCAATCGAAACGACGACATACGAGCCACCGGCGAAAAGGTCTCACAAAAGTCAATCCCTGGTCGCTAGTGGTTGGCGAATGCCACAATTCTCGCCTTGAAGCGAATTACATACCCTTCGTGATCTGATTTAAGGGCATAGACCCATCCAGTAGTAAGTATCTTGGCGCCTTCGGGAACTTCCGAGCTTGGTATCTCCACAATGACACCCTTCGCTCTCAACGCGGTTATCTCATCAACTTCTGCTAGTCCCCACAAGCCTGCAAACTTAGATCGTCTTGCTTCGCGCCTATTTTGAGGAATCTTCACAGCGCTAGCTTTGATATACTGACCGCTCGAATCCTTGATCCGAGATGTACGCTGGGTTGCATTCACGACATAGTCATTCAGGTACGCAGGCCGACGTCGTTCGTAATATTCGCGAAGTCCTGTACGTGTGCGTTTCGCTTCCGGTTTGTCAGCATGACGCTCAACACGCAACTCTTCCGAATAAGTCTCATCACGACCAACGCATTTTCCGGTTTGCTGGTGATAGAGTGGACTTATATCCATAACTTCACGGATCCCGATTGCATCATCCAGGTCATTGTTCATCTTTTGTATCTCAGTATTCTCCTCATGACCTAGCGATCCAATCGAGCTGGCCACTGTAATATCGTCCCTGTTGGCGGCATCTTCAGGCACAATATCGAAACTAGATGTTTCCTCATCATCTGCAATTGATCCGCACACTGCAGCCACTGATTCGTTGCCATCACTAGGCAGATGAGCATTCGAGACTACCTCCCCATATGCTGATCTAATGCTTTCCTGCGAATGCGCCTGGAGCTGCTCAGTGCTCTGCACATTCATCGTACTCTCATCCGGCGTGTTCGATACCTTGTCACCGCGTGAATTCGTCTCCACAACCGCCTGTGGATCATTA